TGATGCTTTGAACTGCCAGCCTTTACACTACAGATTTGTAATATGTTCTGGAGGTAGAGAAGGGGCAACTATTTGTCTGAAGGATCAAAGAACAATTTCTTAGCCATGACAGAAAGAATAAAGTGCTTCAAGTTAAGCAGAATAGTAGTATTTATTTGAGGTGGATTTTGAGATCAGATCTCTGAATATCTCTGGTGGTGTAGTGCATAAGGTATGTGACTGCTTACCGGAAGGCTGATGGTTCAAACCCACCAGCCACTCCTTGGAAGAAAGACTGGGCAATCTACTTCCATAGAGATAACATCACAGAAACCCTAGGAGGAGTCCCTATAAGTTAACTGACTCTTCGGCAGTGAGATTGGTTTTTATTTTGGTAGCCTGAATCTCTAATTAGCACAGAGCTTCTCACTGGGACCAATCACCCCAAGGATGAGTTACAATGACCTAAGCCTCAAGGTGACTTCTGGTATCATACAGAAGGTCAGTGGCTTAACAGTGGTAAAGTTTTATTGTGATTTTTTTGAGTTCAGGCTGAAATTAAAATTTTTATAAACAAGAAGAACCCCTTTCAACCACTATTACTGAACACTGAATGGCTCTGGACATTAGTTTTGTTTTTTTTTTTTTTTCAATTGTGATTTCGGTGAAAGTTCATAGAGGAAATTCACTTTCCATATAATAGTTCATACACATTTTGTTTCATGACATTGATTGCAATCCTCATAATGTAACAGCTCTTTTCCCTTTTCCCTGTGTCCTTCTTTCCTATGCATTCCTGCCCTCTAAGCTATCTTTCTGTGCAAATAATGCCCATTGATCCCTCATGATTGATTTTTCTAAGGAGTGAACCTACGTGGTGTAAATGTTCACCTTATATATACCTATCTACTATTTGGCTGAAAGCCACTGGAGTGAGTTCAATTCCAGGCCTGAAGGGTGACTAGGGCCCATAGTCTCAGGGGTGTCACTAGTCTCTATTAGACTAGTAAGTCTGGTCTTTTGGATATTAGTTTTTGCTGCCAACTGATAATATTTCTAATAAACTCAACCTAAAGATACTTATTTATAAGACTTTACTATGTTGTTGTTATGTGCCATCGAGTCGAACCCGACTCACAGTGACCCCTCCTTGGGTTTCCAAGGCGGTATCACTACAGAGGTAGACTGCCCAACCTTCCTTCCGAGGAGTGGCTGGTGGGTTTGAACAACCAGCTTTCTGGTTAGCAGTCAAGTGTCTTAGGCACTATGCTACCAGAGCTCCCAGACTTTACTATGTTGTTATTGTTATGTGCCGTCGAGTTGGACCCGACTCACAGCGACCCCTCCTCGGGTTTCCGAGGCAGTATCACTATGGAAGTAAGTTGCCCCATCTTCCTTCTGAGGAGTGGCTGGTGGGTTTGAACCGCCAGCCTTCTGGTTAGCAGTCAAGTGCCTTAGGCACTAGGCTACCAGAGCTCCTGACTTTACTATAGTTAAGTCATTTTGACAACAAGTAATGTTTAATCATAAATAACGTGAGAAGCTAGCTGCTTTCTACACTTCCTGTTTTCAAAAGTTAAAATAAGAAGCAAGATCTCCATTCTCACACAAAGTTGCAGCAGATATCTTTTCTGAGCTCAAACTACAGTTTCAGCAGTGTTTTATCGACCTCATGCAAATGCAAAGAAGATCCTATATTTCAAAAGCCATTTAACATTTAACTGTGCCATTGAGGAGCTTCCACCTAACTTTCAATTGGAAGTGATTAATTGGCAATGAAATGGCATGCTAAAAGGCAAATATCAAGAGAAAAAACTCTGAAAGGAATCTATAAAAGGCTTCCAGAGGAGAATATGTTCAATTAAAATTATGCTTATAGAATGCTACTAGTATCTGACAGTTATCTATCTGTGTGAAGAAGGAACCCTGGTGGTCTTGTGGTTAAGTGCTTGACTGCTAACCAAAAGGCCTGCTGTTTTAACCCACCAGCCATTCTATGGGAGAAAGATGAGGCAGTCTGCTTCCGTAAAGGTTACAGTGTTGGAAACCCTAGGAGCAGTTCTACTATGTTCTATGGGGTCACCAGGAGTCAGCATTGACTTGACAGCAGTGGGTTTGCTTTTTTATCTGTGTGAAAAGACATTTTCAAAGATGAAATATAAAAAAATCTCATTATAGATCAGAATATTTATAATCAATGTTGAGGACAGGGAACACCAACTTCAAACCTCAATTAAGCAAAATATTACACCAAAAAAAAAAAAAAAATCAATTCTTATCATTAGGGGATCTGTATTACTTGAAATTTTACTCTATTATTATTTTTGAATTTCATCAATAAAAAACATTGGTGGAATTTTTTTTTTTTTTCTCTCTTGTTATATAAGCATCTACATAATACCTTTGGATTTTTTCTCTTGGTCTGAAAGTTTTAGTATCTGGCCCTTTCTAGGAAAAATTTGCCAAGCCCTGATCTAAATCAGTGATCTTAAGAGAAGACTTAACAAAACAAAAATAAACTACAAACTGTTTCACAGGTGATTCTGATGCTCAGCTAGGCTTTCTCACCATTGGTCTACAGTTACTCCACCTCTGATCCCATTTAACATGGATCATCTATAGCCAGAACCACTATATTATCCTAAGTTTCAGTAGGGAGAAACTAAGCAGAAGATGCCTGTAAGTTAATTGAACAAGTCATTGGTAAATCTGTGTAAAATCCTTAGGATTCCTGACCTTTGATTATTGGTCAAATTAATTAACATTGACAAGGGACCAAGAGAAATGTTTTGAAAAAAAAAAAAAAAAAAAAAGAGATTAAGGTAGAAGAGTAGGAGAATATTATTCTCCTCAGCCTAATTATAAAGGCACTGCTTCCTTGTATCTTTCTTGTATGAGCAGTAACAACAGACCTATTCACTCATACATTCAATCAACAAATATTTATTGAGTACTTATCTAAATATGCCAGGCACTGTTCCAGGTGCTAGGAACAGTGCACAAAAGAATCAAAATTCCTACTTTCCTGAAGCTCATGTCTTCTTGTTGTTGTTGTTATATGCCATCAAGTTGGACCTGACTCATAGCGACCCCTCCTTGAGTTTCCGAGGCAGTATCACTACGGAAGTAGATTGCCTTATCTTCCTTTTAGTGGACTGATGAAAACTATTGGCATCTTTGTAATGACCTTTCAAAATGGCCCAAGACGTGAGTAAACAGCTTTGGAGTCCAAAAGCTCAATTTGTCATTATTGGAGAGAAGATGACTGGTGTATATGCAGGTAAGTTTCTACAGCTGGTGCTGGCAAGATAAGGGTATCTCTGACTAATGACATCAACAAACTATAAAGTTTGAGTCAATGTCCTCAACAGAAAGTGACTGAGTTGGGTGTGCACATGTGAAGGGATGAGAATGAAAAAGTTGACTCGGAGAGGGAAAACAACTTAGAGAAACAAAGTGAGACTGCCCAGCCAATATGGACCACTTGAGGTTGGTTATTATGAGTTTATAGTAATACCAACCTGCCCTGCTGCTGTATGATTTCCTCTAGTAATGCTCAGAGTTCATTCCAGAGATGAGATTTTACTAGGTGTCTGGGAAGGATGGAAAGAGGGTCAAAGAAGCTGAGGTTATCTGCAAGAGAGGGACTATCATGATAACCATGGAATCTAAATTGGATAAGAAAGGAAGACAGATAGGTGGGGACTAATGGATAAAGTTCAGTAGGTTGGAGGGAGACAGAACATGTTTGGCTTCTAGGGAGGAAAGATATAATGAGCAAAGACTGGCTGAAGAGGAAAGCAGGCAGATAACAGATGCTTTTGTACAATAAAATGTCAAAATCTTGAATCAGTGAGGTACAGAGGGAAAAAGTTTTCTGCTGTTGTTGCAGTTGTTTCAGAAATTAGTATAAAATTAAACGCATTAGAGGAGGCTCTATTTAAAAGAACTTTGGTGTGTATTAACACTTAAAGCAAGAAAAAATTGTATGAGTGTAGATGCCGATTTGGTTTATCTCTCTAAGTTTGGATAGCTATGTACACATTTTTCTTAAAATTTAGAGTTATTCTGCAATGAGATTAAAAACATATGAGCTACTTTTTCATGAATGCTATATCAACTGGGTCGCACACATATGAAGCAGTTTAGGCTGTGAAGATGATGCCAATAATCTTTCCAGCACCTGTCATATTATGTGACAGGGAGATAGCCTCAGTGATCTCTTAAGATCCACACCACCCCTTTACATTTATGACTACTGGGGTTTGCTCACTTACAAAAGGCAAAGTGTTTGTTAATTGGACCTCCCAGTTGGTTCAACTGACAAAAGGCAACAGTAGAAATTCAGCATCTATATTCCATTTACACTTTTTGGCATCCATTTTCTTCTGTTTCTCATAGAATCTTTGAGACTGAGGGTTTAATGCTCAAACCTGGGTTAGGTCCGTTGATGGCCTTCCTATGCTGAGCATCACTTTTTATCATCCCAGAGTCTTTATTACGGAATGGGTAAGAAGCATGACATTCCCAAGGAATTCAGATTAGATTAGTAGGCCATGGAGAGGCTTCTGTGGAAAGCATTTTCATCTTCACATACTTATCAGTACCAAGATCCAGGTAGGGCACCATGGTGTCCTGACACCCATCATTGACAGCCTTCTTTTTATAACATGACCATTTAGGGGGGCACACAATGGAGCATATCACAGTACAAAGGAAGCATTGAAGCACCTGCAGCATTGATGGTGCCTTTGACTCTGCATTGGGCTTAAAGGAGAAAGAATAGTGAAGAAAGAAGGCCAGACTGTTCTGCCACTAGCTGCTGATTACAAGTCAGTCACACCCACTGCTGATTTATAAAGCCATCTCCTTCTAAAACTCCATCTTTCCTTTCAAAACAGTTAGCAAATTCAAAACAAAAAGTACCTCATCTGGCTAGAAGCGCGGGTCTTTGCCTTTGTTTGTTTTCAGGAATGAGAACTTTTGCTGAAAGAAGGCTCTGTGAAGGAGAAGCAACTCACCACTCAGGTGCTGGGCAGCAGCCAGGTGGCTGGGCTTCAGGATGAACTGGCACTGCATCTCTCGGGGCAGCTGTTCCATGAGGAAGGGCTCTTGGAGGTTGCCAGGAGTAGCGGAGTCCTTTGATCCCTGCGTGAGGAGCACTGTGTCTCGAAGATGGCTCATTTTAATTCCATAGGGATATTCATGACCTACAAAGAGAAAAATCTATGTGGCTACTTCAGGCTGACGGGTGTGATCAGACCTACCTTACAGTGAGCATGCAGGCCACACACTGGAATGCACTGCAGTCTGTGTCTGGGAGTTGTGTGACATAAAGAGTCCTTGTGCTGAATGACTGATCACCATGTACATGCTTATAGCTGGAGACCACTGCATAAGGCAGGTGGCTGGCCCTACTGAAGTCATTTCAAGGGAAAAAGAAAAAGGAAGGGAAAGAAATTCTTTTTTAAAAAATATCTTGTTTGGAATGTATAGATCAGTTTTTGAGTTGCGTAATGTTGACTTTTTCTTGTTTGCATCTAATTATGTAGCTGGGAGGTATACATTTAAATATATATATATATATTCATATGTATATTTTAATATCTATTTAAAGATATTCTAGTTTCTCCTTTAACTAGATCTGTAAGTCTCCATCAAATCTTTGAACTCTCTCGGCCTCAAATCCATGATTTAAAATATTTACCTTACCCATCATACAGGGCAGGAGCTCTGGTGGTGTAATGGTTAAAGCATTTGGCTGCTAACCAAAACATCAGTAGTACAAACTTACCAGATAGTCAGAGGGACAAAGATGAGGCAGTCTGCTTCTGTAAAGATTTATAGCCTTGGAAACCCTATAGGGCAGTCCTCCCCTGTCCTAAAGGATTGCTATGAGTTGGAATTGACTTGACAGCAGTAGGTTTGGTGTTGGTTTATCAGACAGGATCATAAAGATCAAATAAATAAACATTAGTGGTTAATATTACTTAAATAATAGGGACAAAGAACTCTTATTACTATTAGTAACACAAGATGTCTATCTGAAAAAGATATTTCATTATTTTTTTTATTAGTTATATAATAAAAGCTACTCAAGAGCATTGGGATCAGTTTGTTTGATTTTATTCTTCCCTCCCACTGCTGCCTCTGAGGTTGGTATTCATAGGCAACAATCAGAAAGAAGACTGATTGTTGTTGTTGTTATGTGCCGTTGAGTTGGACCTGACTCAGAACGACCCCTCCTTGGTTTCTGAGGCAGTATCACTATGGAAGTAGACTGCCCAACCTTCCTTCCAAGGAGTGGCTGGTGGGTTTGAACCTCCAGCCTTCTGATTAGCAGCCAAGTGCCTTAGGCACCATGCTACCAGAACTCCCCACAGGAATGACACAAAAAGGTATTTGCCAACTGGGAAAACAAAATCCTGGACATTGACTGCCACATTATATTTTTGCTTTCTTGGGCTCTAAGTCTTAATATATCCCATAAAGACCACTGTGGTATAGATCTAAGTTTTTAAGTATAAAGAATAAGTTCCCTTTCTTTTGATTTACCATTGAATGTAAGTCAGTGAATGCTTACTCTTCCTTTTTACTCGGCCTAGGCACACAATGTTGAAGTTCTGTTAATATCAAGTACTACATCAACCTCCAGATACAGCACCCCACCTCTGCCCGAAAATAAAGGCTTCTACGACAGCAATAAAGTAAAATAAATCTGTCAGAATAACCAGCAGCTAATTGACAACTGAGGACTGCAAGGCACATTAAAATGTACAATGAAGAACTGCTGCCAAATAACAACCATGTGACCCCATGGTTATTTAGTGAGGGGGAGGGTGGTTAATTAAAGCTATTTTAAGTATAAATGTTACCATCTATATAGTTGTGATTCAATTAGTATATTTGTTTTAAACAATTTAAACAATTAGCCAATTGTTTTAAAGCATGTATTTAACCTTTAATCACAACTTTAATTATTGATTATTAACTTTTAAAAAATGACAATATTGAAAAAAAAAAAAAACTCAACTGTTGAATTTTGTCCTCAGCTATGGATGTGCTCACTTGCTATATTTAAGGCTGAAGATATACATTTTGTAGAAAAGTTTGGTGTTCAGATGACTTAGATCACTCAGAACATACTGAAATACACAGTGGTGACCTCACATGTAACTCAAAGGGTTACAAGAGATAATGTATATGATGCTTTGCACAATGTCTGGCAGATAGTAAAACCAGAACAAAACCAAACCTACTGCCACTGAGTCGATTCCAACTCATAGTGACCCTAGTGGCAGACAATAAGCACTTTAAAATTGTTAAATCACCACCACCACCCCATCATCTCAAGATCTGCTAAGACATTGTCTCTAACTGTAATTACTCTGTTTCTGTTAACCATAGTCAATGAATTTACCAACCCAGAAGGATTTTTTAGCTAAGTAATTCTAATAGCTACATTCAGGGGAGGAAGGTGTAACCTATTCACCAACAACTCCTTAAGAACATATGCTAGAAAATATGGCTAGAGAAAAAGCAAAGTTAGTTAGTTAGTAAAGTAGTAGTTAAATGGCAGGAGTTCTGGTAGTGTAGTGCCTAAGGCACCTGACTGCTAACCAGAAGGCTGGTGGTTCAAACCCACCAGCCACTCCTCAGAAGGAAGGTTGGGCAATCTACTTCCGTAGTTATACTGCCTCGGAAACTCAAGGAGGGGTCACTAAGAGTCAGGTCCGACTCGACGGCACATAATAACAACAAAAACAGTTAGATAGCAAGTTGGTCAGTGACTAATTTTAGGAATTCAAATTGCTTTATTTCATTTTTGTTTTATGCTGCCTAGGAAAGTGTGGATACAGGACAGGTGTTAAATAAACATTCATTGACAGATTAAAAGGCATGATGGAATTATAATAGATGGTCTTCCATAGAGACAATATAGTAGGTAGGAAAGGTACCAAGAAATTCAAGAACAGAATATGAAATATAAAGGTATGGTAAATAAATACCATATTGCTTTCATATAGAGAAAAAGAAAATAATGTTTGGAAAGAAAGATCTGTCTGTAAAGTGAAAAAGCAAAGAGGAAAACTTATTCTCATCCATACCATTAGCTACTTGAGTGAAGAGGTGTTATTTATCTCACACATAAATGTTTGATAGATATTTATTAAATGAATGAAAGAATATTTTATGAGATTTAACTTGTATTTAAGCTTAGGACTATATGATTAATTCTCTAAGATACTTAGAATTATAATTAAAATACAATCAATTCTATCTTAAGTTTTCCCAGAAACTTACCAATAAGTGGGTATGGTGCCTCTTCTTTGCCAGAATTGACCCATAATTGGTAATCTCTCTCAGAACCCTTGGAGATAAAGAATGAAAAGTTATCATAAATTTTTCATATTCAGTACTTGAATGATAGAACATTTTTGGGGGGGCATGTCACTTTTCACAAAGAAAAAAATGGGGACAATATAAATGCTATTCAGGTTTCCAGCGATGCTTATGGTTTTCGAAGATGGCAGTGCTGATTCCTGTAACTTTCCCTGTTCCCAGCAGAGTACTCGGGAATCCTGCTTTTTCCCTTAGCGATGGCTAAAGAGCCATAAACTACAACAGAATCAGACCTTCACTATATGAGTAACCCACAGAATATGAAATCACATCTATGATCTTTCACGAAGGAAGACTAAATTTCCTGGTTTTCTAAAAGACTAATCTCTTCCTTGAAGTCCTGACTTTGACTATGGCTCCAGATTTTCAGAGCATGTTGGCTATAACCTCGAACATGCCCCTGAAAAGACAATCTTCTCTCCCAGAAAGCTATAAACACTGCTATGTTTATGACTGAAGAAAGCAGAAGGCTAATCATTAGCTGAGCTGCTTCTGAGCGGAAGAATGACCAAAAGGCTTTGAGGAGACAGGAAGAGAAGATAGGTAGCTGGCACAGTCTAGAATGGCTGTAGTTATGGGGAAGTCTAGTCTTGGGGACAGAGAAAAGAAGAATTCTGCCTAGAGAACAGATCCAGTCATAGTAAATAATGAAACTGCTCACCAGCAGAAATATAAACCAGCAACATTAAAAATCCCACTTGAAACAAAGGCAGTCCTTGGATTATGAACACATTATTTTCCTAAGTGTCTTTTAGTCAAATTGGTACATAAGTTGGAACAGTTAGGTATAATCTGTATCTAGTTAGGTACAATCTGATGTATCTAACACATCAGTTAGTCAAATGTTTGTCTTAGTATATAAAACCAAAAACCCCACTGCCTTTGAGTTGATATCAACTGCTAGGGACTCTACAGGACAGAGTAGAACTGCCCCATAGGGTCTCCAAGGCTGTAAATCTTTACAGAAGCAGACTGCCTCATTTTTCTCCTGCAGAGAGGGTGGTTGGTTGAACCACTGACCTTCTGGTTAGAAGCTGAATGCTTTAACCACTGTACCACCAGTGCTCCTTGTCTTAGTATATAGTGTACCCTTCTATACATAAAAAATATTAATGCTTCCAGAAACACTAAAACATCTTTACCATAATACTATAGTAATAATATTTTGATGTGTGTTGCAAAGTACTGCCCATTTGTTATTATGAACCACTGTATGTTGCCAGTAGCACAGGCAGTAATGACTCCATGGCCCTCCACTCATTGAGCGGGTAGTGGGCTCATGCTCAGTCTTGTACCCTTCTCTGGCAGAGGTGGGAGGGACAGCCTTCTTCTCACGCCAGAACTCTCCCTCCCTACTGTTCTGAGAGCCTGACATCTAGATGCAGCCAGGCTCTAGCTGCACAGTATGGGGCCAAGGATGTGGCTGAGGTGAGGCTGGGCTAGGGCTGGGGCTGGGGCTGGGGCTGGCCAGGGCCAGCCAGGATCCAGGGTTGCTGTCTAAGTGCTGATAACACTAAAGTGGTGCCCAGCCATGCATGGAGAGAAGCCAGGTCTGCACCTGCAGCCTCCCACTTGGGTCCTGGGCCTTGTCAGCCCTAGACAGGGCTTGCGCCAGCTCTGGGTGCCCACCTTGTGCACCCATGCACTGCCATAATCTTTTAGGCTTAGGTGCCTCAGGGTCAGGTCCGAGTGGGTGCAGGGAATGCCCACTGGCTCTTCTCATACACAGTCTTTGGGTTTGTGCTCAAGGAACAACATACACAGGTTGGCTTGTAACTGTGGGTCTGTACAAAAGTCAGATATTCATAACCTGGGGAATGCCTATAATACTAAACTATACAAACTACATTGACTTAAAGAATCTCCTAGGAAAGGATAAAACAAAAATATGTTGTGAATGAAGCTAGAATAGAGTCAAGCTTGTTGGCAATATGTCCTATGCTTGCCTTTAACTTCTGATTAAGAATCATGGTACCGCCTATATAATGGAGGGTCCCAGCTACAGAGAATATTATACATGGACAGGTACCACCATCAACCACTCAGTTTGTTACTTCCTTCCCATCCCATCCCTTGCCTAAAAGTTTATTGTAAATAAGAAAAGCAATCTAAAAAAAAATAATAAAAAATATAAAAAAACTTTTCTTTTTGTGTAGTGTCTAAAAATACTGTAGATGTAGCACCTTAGAAGAGATATAACCAAATAGCCTCAATTCCCAATTAAACTGAAGGGAACTTTTTTTTAGTCTGAGATGATTATCACTGAACACTCTATCTAAAGAAAAAGCATAAGTAAAATAAATCACATCACTAATTAATCTCCATTTCCACCCTTAAAACTACTCACTGTTTTCTAAGACATAATACTATAGGTTAGAAATCAATACAGATGTATTGCTTCTGTATTGATATTTACCCAGGGCATATATATTTAATCATATTTTAAATATATTAAGTTTCACTGATAAAGAAATCAGATTTAAGGGTTTACTATAGCACTGTATCTCTAACAATCAGTTGTCTGATGATGGAAGAAATAATATTTACATAAATCTAAAGTATCAAAGCTTCTTGTTAATAATTAAGACCATCTAGCACAGTAACTTACAGTTATCCCCAGCATTGGAAGAGACATGTTGATAACTTCATTTGCTGTATCTGAATTCATTACTGTTATAGTTTTAGACTGTAGAAAAGACAGAAATGAGAAATACAGCTATAAGAGAAGAATTTTTAAAACAAGTGAACAATTATTGTCAAATGAATGTCCAAAGGCAAAATCCTGATTTCAAGGACTGACAGAGTAAAGCTCATGACTAAAGTAGAATACAAACCTTTGATTTAATTTACTTTCATTCTCTTCTATAATATGCCTTTCAATAAAATGTTTATTTCTCTTAAAGTAAAAAATAGGTGGCTCACAAAATATAAGAACTTAAGCAAGCAAGACAAAATATATTTCAGAAGAGACTATGGCTCAAAAACATCAGCGTAGCTGGCTCTGCTTATCATTTCTGTAACTGTATCACCTAAATGTAGTGGGTAATAAAAAAGAGAGGAAGAGATAAATCATACTCTTTATCTAGTATGAGGTTTTATTTCTTTGCTTGGTATTAAAAAAAAAAAGTTCAGGTAAAATCAGAATAAGAACTGCTTATAAAGAGATTTAAAGTTTAGAATTTAAAAAGCTCACTATTCACTGAGGATTTTCTATGTGTAAAGTACTGTAGCTACTAACATTTTGTCATTGAACTCTTTAGAAATCTTAAATAAAATGAGTTGAGTCTAGGAAACAGGACTGAAAATTTTAGGGAGCTTAATTTTATTTCCAATTCTGCCACTGAATATCTATACTAGCTCTGTACTAAGCTACATTGAGTAATTGTTACTGAAAAATAGAAAGACCATTTGCAACAAATTAGAAAAAGGGTTAACAAGATTCTGAGATGTACACAGAGCTTATTAAATTCTAAAAGACGTTATTTAAGTATAAGATAATTTTATGCTATTAAAAAAGAATTATTCAATATATATATGATATTAATCAGCTATTAGGGCTGTGTCCCTTATAGACAGGGCTTGTTGTGTTCTGCTGAGTCGATTCTGACTCATAGTAACCCTGTGGGACAAAGCAGGACTGTTTCATAGGGTTTCCAAGGCTGTAACCTTTATGGAAGCAGATTGCCACATCTTTCTCCCTCACAGTGGCTGGTGGATTCGAACTGTTGACCTTACAGTTAGCAGCCAGATACTTCCCCACTGTGCCACCAGAGCTCCTTAGACAGGGCTTAAATGGCACTAATAAGTAGCATAAATAGAAATAAAATTATATAACAATAAAGTTAAGTGAAAATCTTACAATTCATTGTTCCATTGCAGTATTTTCTGCTAGTAGCCCTTGGAGGGTCAGGTGGTTAAATGCTGGACAGGTAATGGAAAGGGTGGACATTCAGAGTGTCTCCAAGAATTGCTGGTTAATTGAGTTTTCATTTTTTTTAAAAAAAGTGTTTAAAATGTACTGATTCCAAATTGTTCACAGTGTTGCTATTAAAAACAGGCTTCGTAACCTGACCAAATCTCTTGTCTTCTCTTCCAAAATGAGAGTGGAAAACTAATCCTTTCTCACTGAAAATAAAAGTGCTAAAAAAGACTTGAGATTTTCCATGAAAAATCTGAATGTAACCAACTGCCATAATAACTGAATCAAAGCAGGCAGATACACTGTTTTTTTTTTTTTTTTTTTTTTTTTTTTGGCTACAGGAGATATCTGTAGTCTCAGAGCATTTCCCTCTAACAAAGACATCTGGCACTTGGGAGCAGGTCAGATCATTTGCATAACTTTTGCTTTTGGCCAAAACATAACTGTTTTGCACTACATATTTTTCCACACACAAATAAAACTGTTCTATGTGATGTGGAGCTGCTGTGAAGTACGACAATCCAGCAAAGTGTCATAAAAAAAATATTCAGAAGTTTCCATCTTGCTCACTGTTGATAACATTTTGGCCCCTGCATGGCAATTTCAGTCATCAAATTACTCATAATAACTGGGGCTAAAGACTTAATTTTTGTTTGACCAATATAATAAACACTGCGAGGTAGAAACATGATGATCTCTTAAAGTGTCATCTCTTCCAGCTTATTCATTTATTAACCTGAGGGATTCAATCCTAAAAACATCAAAGAATGAAGAACTTCTTAAAATCACTCTCTCCTTCAGAAGTGACAAGTTGGAAAAAACTACTTAATACTAATAGGAAATGCCTCTTTGTGGAAACAGCTTTACTACAAGCCTCTGCAGCTACCACTGAAAGGATCTAGAGAAACACTGATGCCAGAGGGAGAGAAGAGACATTTGATCAGCAATATTCTTTCCAAGTTTAAATGTTAAATACTGTAGTTAATATAAATTTCTTTGGCTTCATTTTCTCTAGAGTAACTTTTCATATATTCAAAGATAAGCATACACCCAGGAACGCATTCACTCACAATGGTATTTCTAAAAGCCCACCTTCCAAAGCACATACATAGTCTATCTTCCACAGCATATACACTGTCCCTCTTTTTATCCATGGTGTTCTGCCTTATGCAGGGACTTGGAATTTAATTTTCTGGCTTAGAAACACTTACATAGGCACAATTCCCAATGTCCTTGGCGAAGATTTTGAGGGGAATGCTCTTCGGGTAGTCCTTCTCTTTCTCTAGATTGATGTATCTAATCAAATGCAACAACAACCCAAAACAACACTGAGTCAGATGAATTTGGCTAATGGCTTATTTTAAAATCAATTTATTTTGCTAATATTTTCAATATACTTATATGCTTTTTTTTTGTAAAGAAAGACTCAGCAAAGTCTGATTACATTATGGGTTGAAAGAGAATTAAAGAAAATCTCAGGAGGGTACAAATAAGTATGGAAAATTCTTGTTAAGTGAAGTTTTGAGAAGTACAATCAGGTTAAGGCAACTCTGGGGTAATGTTTTATTCTCAAAGTTTCCCTGTCTTCTCTGGCTAGGCCCAGCATCTTATTGATAAATACAGGAGCACATATAATCCTTTACTCCATTACCCACTGCCATCAAGTAGCTTCCAACTCACAGTAGGACAGAGTAGAACCGCCCTGTAGGGTTTCCAAGGCTATAAATCTTCATAGAAATGGACTGTTCCATCTTTTTCCCGTAGAGCAGCTGGTGGGTTCAAACCGCCGACCTTTTGGTTGGCAGCCAAATGCTGTAATGCCACTAGACCAAATAAAAACTGTGTCATTTTCTTCTCATTTAGCTACCCAGTGGAATGTAAATCTTAGTCACCCCATTGCTTGAGGAGGGGGAAGGAGAAGGAGGGAAGGATTATGAAACTAACAGATGAACCTAAATTGATTATTTTAGTCTTTATGCTCACAGGTACAGACAGTAATTAATTTGTGAAGTAACTAGCAGAAAGCCTTGCATTTATGGAAACTTAATACAGGATTGAGGAAATTGTTGGTTCCAATCAGTAGGTTGGAGAAAACGGAAAGAGATGGGAGTGGTTATGGTCTAATTTCTATGATCTCAATAGACCTCAATGTTCTCATTCCTAGAACATAAGAAATACTTGTAATGAGAGAATATTATTTACAGTAAGTGGTAGCTAGTGTGCCATCTAAACAACAGCTTATTCTGAGCACAAATGAACAACTTCTATGAAGAGATGGAAAATACTTTGGGGCATGTCTCTACAAACATCTCAATTTGTTTATTACAGGTTAAAAATCAAAAATACGTATTCTGACAAAATACCTCTGAAGGAGAGATAGCCACCTGTCCTTTTGTTCTGGAGAACTGCAATCCGAGAAAATAGGAAAAAAAAAAAAAATAAAAACACACATTAAACCACATAAAATATCTATGCTAACATCTTTAAGATAGTCAATTCAAATGAAAATATCAACAGCCTATTGTCACTAACACAGTTGTACATGTAAGCTTCAATCCTGGCATAACTGGGTTTTGTAGAAGCCTGCACTGAAAACTCCTCTTAGTAAAAACTATGCAGTGACATATAGTGTAATCAAATCATCTCGGATGGATCCAGACAGACCCACTTTATTACTTTATTGCTCTTTCACAAGTGGCATCATAGCTGTAGGAGGTAGCTCTTAAAATATATGTAAGCTATGTAATCATGGGCAAATCCCTTAACCTCTCTAAGATCCAATTTCCACATTTATAAAACTGGGTTAGGTGTCTATCACTCAAAGCATTTTTGCAGCTTTAAGTGCAATACAAATAGGAAGTATGCTTAATATTGACATTAAAGCATAGTTAAGAAATTTGGAACATGGATAGAAATTTCTTGGCCCACAAACAAGTTTGTTGTCAGGAAAACAAATATTTATTTCTTTATGCAGATAGCAGAAGTGTAATTTAGTGAATTAGTTCAGAGAAAACTTATTAATTACTATAATTTTCTGATTAAGATCAACCGACTTATAGCTAAATTACTATTAATTAATAATTTTTCTTCTAAAGTCACTGCTGCATTTAATTATTAAAATAGCTAAAAATAATATGAAGTTTATTCCTACATGGTCTTATCACTCACTAGCTTTTAAAATCATATTTCTAATCTCCTCAAAGAAGTCGAAAACCCTCGTTATTTTTCTGTTCCAGAAAATGACACTTAGTAAATATTTTTAATTTGTTTCTAACTTTGTTGCTTAGCAATTTTCTTCATAAGTGTTTTAGTTATCTAGTGCTGCTATAACTGAAATACCATAAAAGGTGGTTTTAACAAATTTATTTTCTCACTGTTTGAGGCTACAAGTCTGAATTCAGGGTGCCAACTCTAGGACAAAGCTTTCTTTCTCTTTCTGTTGGCTGTGGAAGAAGGACTTTGTCCTTTGAGCTATCTGTGCTTCTGGGCTACCTTCATGGAGCTTGGTATTTCTCTTCTGGCATTACTGCTGGCCTAACCTGCTCTTTTTCTCTCTTACAAGAGATTAACTAAAAACACATCCTACACTAATCATGCTTCATTAACATAACAGAAAATGTCCAAATGGGATTATAACCACAAGAATAATGTTGTTGTTTGTTGTTATGTGCCGTCGAGTCGGCCCCGACTCATAGCGACCCCTTCTAGGGTTTTCGAGGCAGTATCACTATGGAAGTAGGATTGCCCAACCTTCCTTCCGAGGAGTGGCTGGTGGGTTTGAACCGCCAGCCTTCTGGTTAGCAGTCAAGTGCTTTAGCCACTATGCTACCAGAGCATAGTGGCTATGACATTTGACTGCTAACCAGAAGGCTAGCGGTTCAAACCCACCAACCACTCCTTGGAAGGAAGGTTGGGCAATCTACTTCCATGGTATCACCTGTGATACCACCACAGGAACTCAAGGAAGGGTCACTATGAGTTGGGTCCTACTTGAGGGCACATAGCAACAACAAGAATAATAAAGGGTAGGATTTACAACAGGGAGGGGCACAATTCAGTCCATAACAATAAGCGATCTCTCAGGATTGGCCATCTATGGTGCAGTGAATTATTTGGCATGATCCTTATAGCCATGGTCTTTGTGGCTCCTACCAAATGGGACTATGCAAATGGCAGGTGCTTGTTAATAATGTAAATAAGGAACACAGCACCCTTGTGGGGGCAGAATCCCGCAAACAAGGTATATGGAACCCTAATGTGAGGACTGGTCAGTTTTGCCACCCTGCTAGGCTTAAAGTGAGCCATCCCAGAGGCGGAAAGGGGAGATCTCACTACCATCAAGAAACAAGAGCCAGGAGTGGATCACATCCTTTGGTCCTGAGTTCCCTGCACTGAACTTCCTCTACCCGGGAGAGAGCTGTGTCAACAGAGAGAGAGAGAGAGAGAGAAGCACCACCAGCAGCAGAGAACCGGTGGCAACGGAGGCAGCAGAACCAAGAGACCACCCTGAGACAAGAACAATGAGCTTCCTGCCCATGGAGCAAGACAGCTGAGTGACTTAGGGCAGGAGGCCTGCTGGCAGAGTGAGGTGCCTCTCTAGGCACCTACTGTTGTTGTTGTTATGTGCTGTCAAGTTGGACATGACTCATAGCGATCCCTCCTTGGGTTTCCGAGGCGGTAGCACTACGGAAATAGATCACCCAACCTTCCTTCTGAGGAGTGGCTGATGGGTTTGAACCGCCAATCTTCTGGTTAGCAGTCAAGTGCCTTAGGCAGACTGCTACCTCTAGAGCTCCCTCTAGGCACCTACTGGCAGAGCTAAAAGAACTTTGTAACACTTGCCTGGGCAGGGCAGAGGCCAAGGCCAGAGAGAAGCATAACTGAAGCATGGCGGAGAACAGGCAATCCTGATTGAAGAACTCTATTCTGAGTTGTTTCTGATCTGAATTTGTAACCTGTTACTTCCTTAATAAACCCCATAATTACAAGTACTCTCTGCGAGTTCTGTGTGGCCACTGCAATGAATTATTTATCCCACTAGAGAATTAGAGTGTGTCTTAGAAGGGAGTCTGATAGCACAGTGCCTAAAGCATTTGACTGCTAACCATAAGGATGGCAGCTCAAACCCACCAGCCACTCCTCGGAAGGAAGGTTGGGCAATCTACTTCTGTAGTGATACTGCCTCGGAAACCCAAGGAAGGGTCACTATGAGTTGGAACCGACTCGATGGCAGTGAGTTTGGTTTGGTTTGGGTTGGAAGGGACAATGGGTGGTGTCAGAGTTGGTAAAAAGGTGGGAAGGTGGTGGCATGTCTGACCTCTGCCTCAAAGGAATCAGCCATAGCCTGTTGATCTTGATCCTTCTCCCCACTTGTGAAGTTTAAGGAGGTCAAACACCACCTCCAGATCATTTTGCACTATCAAAAAGTGCTTTAAATCTTTTTTTTTTAACCACTGGCCATATAATTTTCATCTTTCACAATTCCATACTATCTTTTGTTTTATTCTTCTTTTCCAAACAGAAGATTTTGTAGGTTCATTTATATCAAGTATCAAAATTTGATTTATTTAGCAAAATCTCTGTGCTGAAAAACGGATGACATGAGCAAAACAACAAAAAACAGATAAATTGGACCTCATAAAAATTAAAAGCTTTCATGCATCAAAGGACTTTATCAAGAAAGTGATGAGACAACCTACAGAATGGTAGAAAATATTTAGTAACCATATATCTGATAAACATTTAATATATAGAACATATAAAAGAATTCTTACCACTCAACATAAAAAAGACAAATAACTGAAGAAATTAGCAAAGGACTCGAAAATATGTTTCCCAAAGAAGATATCAAATGGCCAATGAGCACATGAAAAGATGTTCAATATTGTTAGTCATTAGGGAAATGCAAAACCACAATGAGTTACCACTTCACGTCCACTTAGATGGCTAGTATCAGAAAAAGGAAAACTAACCCATGTTTACTGAGGATGTGGAGAAACTCATGTATTATTGGTGGGAATGTAAAATGGTATAGTGGTTACAAAAAAAGTTTGGTAATTCCTCAAAAAAGTAAACAGAATTAACATATGACCTAGCAGTTCCATTTCTAGGTATATACCCCAAAGAACTGAAAGCAGAGACTCAAATAGGTATGTGTACATTGATATTTATTGGAGCATTATTAACAACAGCTAAAAGATGGACATGACTCATGGCCATCAACAGATGAATGGATAAACAAAATATAGTGTGTGTGTGTGTGTATATGCAATGGATTATTATTTAGCCATAAGAGAAATAAGCTCTGATACATGCTATGACATGCATGAACCTTGAAAATATGCTAAGTGAAACAAGTCAGACACAAAAGAAAAAACATTGTACACTTACATTTTATATAAAATACTTAGAATAGGAAATGCATTGAGACAAACAAAAGTTTATTAGTAGTTACCAGGGGCTGGGGGAAGAGTAGAATGGGAGTTACAGCTTAAAGGATACTGAGTTTCTATTTGAGGTTATAGAAAACTTTTGTAAATAGATTGTAGTGACTGGTTGCACAACACAGTGAATATAATTAATATCACTTAATCTTAAACTTAAAGATTGTTAAAATAGCATTTTTTGTTACATATATTTAAGGCACTTGACTGCTAACCAGAAGGCTGATGGTTCAAACCCACCAGCCACTCCTCAGAAGGAAGATGGGGCAATCTACTTCTGTAGTGATACTGCCTCGGAAACCCAAGGAGGGGTTGCTGTGAGTCAGATCTGACTCAACGGCACATAACAACAACAACAACAATATTTTACCATAATAAAATAATTTCTTAAAAAAAAGATCAGAAATTTTCTTCATATCTGTAAAACATTTTTCAATTAAAATTTAAAATTCTTATTGTTGTTAGGTGCTGTCAAGTCATCTCCAACTCATAGTGACCCTATATGCAACAGAATGAAACACTGCCCGGTCCTGTGCCAGCCTCACAATCCTTGCTATGCCTAAGCACATCGTTGCAGCCACTGTGTCAAGCCATCTTGTTGAGGCCCTTCCCCTTCTTTGTCGACCCCCCACTTTACCAAGCATGATATCCTTCTCCAGGGAATAGTCCCTTTTGACAACATGACCAATGTAGGTGAGACAAAGTCTGGCCATTCTTGCTTCCAAGGAGCATTCTGGCTGCACTCCTTCCAGGACAGATCTGTTAGTTCTTTTAGCAGTCCACAGTACTTTAAGTATTCTTTGCCAGCACAACTCAAACGCATCAACTCTTCTTTGGTCTTCCTTATTCATTATCCAGCTCTCACATGCATATGAGGCGATTAAAAATACCATGGCTTGTGTCAGGTGCAATTTAGTCTTCAAGGAGACATCTTCGCTCTTCAGCACTTGAAAGAAGTCTTTTGCAGCAGATTTGCCCAATGCAATATGTCCTCTGATGTCTTCACTGCTGCTTCCGTGGGTGTTGATTGTAGAATCAAGTAATATGAAGTCTTTGACAATTTCAATCTTTACTCCATTTATTGTGATGCTGCTTATTGGTCCAGTTGTGAGGATTTTGTTTTCTTTATATTAAGGTGTAATCTATACTGCAGACTGTAGTCTTCAATCTTCATCAGTAAGTGCATCAAGTCATCCCCACTTTCAGCAAGCAAAGTTATGTTGTCTGCGTATTGCAGGTTGTTAATGAGCCTTTCTCCGATCCTGATGCCACGTTCTTCTTCATACAGTCCAACTTCTCGGATTATTTGCTCAGCATACAGATTAAATACCGATATGGGAGCTCTGGTAGCATAGTGGCTAAGTCACTTGCCTGCTAACCAGACGGCTGGCGGTTCAAACCCACCAGCCACTCCTCGGAAGGAAGGTTGGGCAATCCTACTTCCGTAGTGATACTGCCTCGAAAACCCAAGGAGGGGTCGCTATGAGTCGGGGCCGACTCGACGGCACATAACAACAACAACAACAATTAAAAACTATTGTTTTAGAATATTTTAGAGTATAAATTAGCTATTGCAACTTAGTTGGACTGTCTTACAAAATTTGCTGCACCGAGGATCAGTAGTTTAAAAAACTGATAAGGGTGGAAAGCTCAATATGTAAATCAAATATCTGGGCTTTAGGGAAGGGGATGTGGAAAGAGGGAATCCTAGAGGTCTGCCCCGCTATTCCCCTTCCATACCTCCTGAGGCCCTTTCCCCCAGGTGTCCTAGTTTAAAACCCACTGTCTTCAACTCAGTGACCCTATGTAGAAGGCTACAAATCATCATGGAAGTAGACTGCTTCATTTGTCCAATGAAGCGACCGGTAGGTTTGAACTGCTGACCTTTTGGTTAGCAGCTGAATGCTTTACCACTGTGCCACCAGAGCATGGTCCTAGTATTTAATAACAAAACAAAACAAAAAAACCTCACTGCCATGGAGTCAATTCCTACTCATAGTGACCCCCATTGGGTTTCAGAGGCTATAAATCTTTACAGAAGTAGATTGCCACATTTTCCTTCTGTGGAGAAGCTGGTGGGTTTGAACCAATGACCTTCTGGTTAGCAGCCAAGTGCTTTATTTGCTATGCCACCAGAGCTCTTTCCATCCTAATATACTACTACTCTACTCACTACTTTGGAGTCAGATCTGACTCATAGTGACCCCTCCTTGGGTTTCCAAGGCGGTGCCTAGGGCACTTGACTGCTAACCAGAAAGCTGGTGGTTCAAACTCACCAGCCACTCCTCGGAAGGAAAGTTGGGCAATTTACTTCCCTAGTGATACTGCCTCAGAAACCCAAGAAGGGATCACCACAGCCCATAACAACAACAACATTACTACAAAAGCAGATTGCCCAACCTTCCTTCTGAGGTGGGTTTGAACCACCAGCCTTCTGATTAGCAGTCAAATGCCTTAGGCACTACGCCACCAGAGCTCCCCTCCACCCCTTTAAAAATCAGTAGGTCCAACCAAGGTAAATGAGTCCATTAATTTGCACATATTTTAATAAAAACCTCTTCAGGGAAAACATAGTGTCTTTATTGGGATGTGTGTATAAAGATAACTTAGTACGCAATCTAAATAAAATGTTTTCCTTTAAAAAATTCCAAAAAAAAACACCCCACCAAAACCCCAAACTCCACCCCCATTGCGTTTCCAAGGCAGTAAATCTCTATGGAAGTATATTGTCTCATCTTCCTTCCAGAGAGAGGCTGGTGTGTTTGAATCGCTGATCTACTGGTTAGTATCCAAAACGCCTTACCTACTATGCCACCACTGCTCCTTTTTAAAAAATGAGGGGAACAAAATTTGCTTTTTTCTTTCCATCCTAGAAATTATATTAGCTGATCACCTATTTCATAGTAGCTAACCCATGCAAATAAAGGAAAAGCTGTGGTTCTTACCTGAAAGTAGCCACGAAGTTCACCGTGGGCCAGCCCAAGACAAAGGATTTCGTAGCGTTGGTGTTGCCTTCTCCCACTTCATCCACACAGCTTGCTGTCCACATGTCACTTAACTTTATTTTATTTTTAATCTTAAAGTTGTTGTTATATCTAGAAAGATAAAAAACAAACCAGACCACTTGTTATTTTGTTTCTTAAGTGTTATGGGAACTTCTGTGCTTGTGACAGAGGAATGTTTTCATTAATCAGGGACAAAGAATGTCTTATTCATTGTTTTTATCTTCACTGCCTACCACAGTAAATGGTAACATAGTAGGCTTTTACTTGTTTGCTAAATTAACCTTGGACCAAGAAGGCCCTGGAAATACTTGGTGAATCAGTCATTATGTTTGTATTTATAGCAGCAAATAGTCATAACCTGGCTAATTTATTTTCTGTATGTTGAACACTGCATTTTGATTAAAAATCTCATTTTGAGTTTACTGCTGTTATAAAAATTAATGTATTAAAACTTGCTTACTTTTAAAATATTTGAGTAGTTGAACAAAAGATTAAAAATACATAATTTATTAAAATATATCTAAGATTTTTAAGAGAGATGTACTAGAAAATATAACTTGTAATTACTTAATGGAATTTATAATACATTCTCAACTGAATGGTTACTAAATTTTCTAGCTTTTAGAAGTATAGGTTATTTTAAACTTCCTTTCTAGAAATTATGTTCATACTATTTTATCTAATATTCTGGCTAAAACTGAAAAACTGTAGTCTAACAACAGAATCCAAAAATTTTTTTTTTCCTTAAAAAAAAAAGTATATTAGAGTTTACATACTAAAGTACTTGGTTTGTGGAAGGTTGCGGTCTATAGTGGGAGCCCTAACTCCATTTTGAGTCTTGACCTAAAATCTGATGTCTTTTGAGTTCTTTCTGATCATTAAACCAGCAATGTGGCTATCCTCAGAAAGCCCAGGACATTTAGGCCTCAGTAGAGTGTAGTTGAGAGAAGATTATCCTCACACAAAGAAGTAGGGAGCTTGCCTGGATGTGTCCTCAATGCTTTACTGAAAATAGTAACATGTTACCTAATTTAAGCTAAAGGTTGAGGTCCTGGTATGGATCATGTAGCTATGACGCAGGGTCACATGGTCATGAATCATACCCTGACTACATGTAGCCAGGTGGTCAAGCCCCAGAACCAATCCTGTAACACTTTCAATGTGTAATTGTGTACCTATCCCAATCATGGTCCTTTACCTGCTTCTGTAGTCCTGCCTGTGACAATAATGAACTGATCTGCCAGTAATCATGATTTCGTGATGATTTCCTTTGTTTTCTAATATGCATAATTAGCCCCGTGGCCATGAGTCAGTGGACTCCATTTGGCCTCTGTACTGTGTACATGCCGGTTTCCCTCATCCTCGATGACTGTCTTTGTATTGTCTTTGTCCTGTTTAAGGCTTAATAAAAAGTCTGTACGGCACATGTTTGAATCTGGGGTCTTTATTCCCCTAACTCAAAAGAAAGAAAGGAGGCTAGAAAATATTATATTTAAGTCAGGCAGACATACTTGACATTCATCTCTGGGGACTCAAGAGGGTGATCTGATCTACTTTAAGTTAGCAGTGAAATTGCTTTTTGACAATTTCTACCTAATCCCCCTTAGATCTGGTTTAATGTTCATGCTGGACTTGAGACTTAAATAGTTTCAAAGCACTGAGAAGGATAAAGAAAATGCTTAGGGAATTTTGGGTACTTCCCATCATTCAGAACCATTTGTGGAAACACTGAAAGCTAAAATGAAATCAAAGACATCACATACAGAAATATCCCTAAAATCCATATGATTCATGGAACATTTAATTTAAAGCTAAAACTCTTCAGTTGGATTTGTTAAATGAAAAATATTTTGCAGGAACTACACCTGAAGGATAATCTAGATTCAAAGCCTTATTCATGCTTCTAGTATGGTACACTGTTTTCTTCTCCTTTATTTTAATTTCCAAACTATTTATTAATTTCTAGCACTTCTCAGCCAACCAACAAGTAATTGTTTTACTTTTTATCAGTAACTAAAGTCTTTTTTTTACACTTTGAGTGAAGAGAAAGACAGTAATGAAAACAATCTCTTCAACTCATAGGGAGTTGGCTGTGTTAAAGCAAAAGGGGGCACAAAAACCACTCATAATCCAACATTATTCTTTTTTTAAAAAAATTGTGCTTTAGATGAAAGTTTACAGAGAAAACTAGTTTCCCACTCAATAGTTTACACATGAAATGTTCCAGGACATCAGCTTCCTTCCCTACAATGTGTCAGGACTCTCCCCATTTCCATCCTGGGTTCCCCATTTCCTTTCCTCTGGATTTTCTACCCCTTCTTGCCTTCCTACCTTTGCTTTTGGGCAAATGCATTCCTTTTGATTTCATATAATTGATTGTTCTAAGGAACATATTTCTCTTGGATATTATTGTTTATTTTATGGGCCTATTGTTTGGCTAAAAGGTGGCCTTTGGGCATGTTTTCAGTTCTAGGTCAGAAGGGTGTCATAGGGCCATAGTCCTGGGGGTTCCTCCAGTCTTTGTCAGATCAGTAACTATGGTTTTCTTTGTGAATTTGATTTTTTTTGATTCTGTATTTTTCTTCCACTCTATCTGGGACCCTCTTTTGGGATTCTACTCAGAGAAGTCAGTAGTAGTAGCAGCTGGGCACCATCTAGCTCTTTTGGTCATAGGATCATGGTTCATGTGGTCCCTTCCTTAGTCCTTTGGACTAATTACTCCCTTGAGATTTTGGTTTTCTTCACTCTCCTTTGCTCCAGTTGGGAAAAGTCCAATAGAGTTTCTTAGTTGGTCGCTTGCAAGCTTTTAACATCCCAAACACTACTTGCAAAGTAGGATGCAGAATACTGTCTGTGGTAGTGAAGTTTGTGCGTTAACTTGGCTGGGCCTGGTTGAGTGTCTAAGCAGCTGGATGTAGTATTCCCCATGATGAGGCTGGTAATCAACTCCATGATGGAATCTACTGTTAGCAGCTGAGTAGCTGCCATAGGGATGTAGTTTGTTTCCTTTATACAAGAAGAAGCCTTAGAAATGGTTCCTAGCCTTTTGGCACGCTTGAACCCTGCACGTAGCTGTGTTGTTGTTCAACAGCCTGCCATGCCCTGCCAGTCTTGGGATTTCATCTGGACTTGAATTAGTGCCCTGCCATGTTGTTTGGTAACATTGAGACTGTGCCTTTTTACTTGTCAACCTTGGGCTTGTGAGGCTCAGCAGGTAGCAGCTGTCTGAGTGAAGAAAAGCCTCCAGCTTCAGTGGGCCAGGAGCAGGAGGCAGAGCTGAAGCCCAAGGTTGAGGGGCTTTCATCCAGCCCCTAGAGCCTGGCACTTTGAACTCAGACTTAAAGCCTCCAAACCATAAGAGAATAAAATCCTGATTCTTAAAGACATCCCATTTGTAATATATTCCTGTCAGGTGGCACCAGGTAACCAAAACACTGTCTTTATGAACTATGTTGTGCCAATTGACATAGATGTTCTCTGACTTTTGTTCCTCACCGTTGACCCTAGGAACTTTGACCCATGAGGTATGTGGTTATGTCTAAGAAGTTTCCATGACTGTGACCCTTGTGTGCACTATCGTCTACACTAATATGCAATTAGTGCCTATAATAATGTATGTAGAAATTTTTCACAACCAAACTTATATTTGCAGGTAGATATGTTCCTTTATGGGAGCTCTGGTAGCATAGTGCCTAAGGCACTTGACTGCTAACCAGAAGGCTGGCAGTTCAAACCCACCAGCCACTCCTCAGAAGGAAGATGGGGCAATCTACTTCTGTAGTGATACTGCCTCGGAAACCCAAGGAGGGGTCGCTATGAGTCGGGTTCAACTGGATGGCACATAACAACAACAACAACAACATGTTCCTTTATACCATCCCACAACTCTTTAGCATACCTATCTATCTATGTATCTATTGATACATTGTTGTTGTTTTTGTTATGGGCCATCGAGTTGGACCTGACTCATAGCGACCCCTCCTTGGGTTTCCGAGGCAGTATCACTACGGAAATAGATTACCAACCTTCCTTCCAAGGAGTGGCTGGTGGGTTTGAACCACCAGCCTTCTGGTTAGCAGTCAAGTGCCTTAGGCACTACACTACTGTTTCTTAATCCTATTGCGCTGCAGGATTATCTCTGTTATAGTAATTACTGTAATTGCCCTTTATTCTTGTATTCCTCTCACTGTCTTCCTTTGCCTCGATCATGTTGTGCTGACTTCCATCATACTGTGTATTGCCTTTCCTTCACTAATATTAACATGTATCTTCTATCTAGTTAGTAATTTCCCTTCCCTCCCACTCCCATCCCTGGTAACAAATTTTTTTTTTTTTTTCCTGTGTGTAAACCTTTTCTTGCTTTTTATAATAATAGGCAAATATAATATTTGTCCTTTTGTGATTGACTTATTTTACTCAGCATAATGTCCTCCAAATTCATCCATGTTGTAAGATATTTTGTGGATTTGTAATTATTCTTTATCATTGCATAGTATTTCACTGTATGTATGTATCACAGTTTGTTTATCCATTCATCTGTTGATGGGAACTTAGGCTATTTCCATCTTTCTGCTACTGTGAATAATGCTACAATGAATGTGGGTGTGGTATGTTTATTTATGTCAGGGCTCTTATTTCTTTAGGGGATATACCTAGAAGTGGAATTGCTGGATCATATGGTATTTTACTTTCTAGCTTTTCAAGGAAGCACCATACATTTTCCATTCCCACAAGCAGTGTATAATAGTTTCAATCTCCCTACAACCCTGCCAACATTTGTTATTTTTTTGTTATTTTGATTAGTGCCATTATTGTCAGGGTGAGATGGTGTATCTCATTGTAGTTTTGATTTGCATCTCTCTGAGGTTGGGCAATCCACTTCCATAGTGACAATGCATAGTGACAATGCCTTGGAAACCCGAGGAGGGTATGCTATGAGTTGGGTGTGACTCGACGGCATACAACCACCACCACCACCAATGGCTGATGGTTGTGAACATTTTTCCATGTGCTTGTTAGTCTCCTGAATGTCTTTGTCAGTGAAGTGTCTGTTCATATCCCTTACATATTTTTAAATTGGATTGTTTGTT